ACACAAGTCAACAACAGTAAAATAACAGGCATTAGGAGGAATACAGGACAAGATAGTGGCTGGATTTGATACAACAGGAAAAGTAGGTAAAACTGCAGAATTTACTGCACGGAGGTCTTGTACAAAGTGATAGGTATTTTTTCCAGGTTTCAAGGGCTCTTAGTTGGGACAATGATACCTTGCTTCAAAAGACCTGTTATAACAGGGCATATCCCTTCTTCGGCTTCTGGGCGTAAAGGGTATTGAGCAACTTTAGGTAATGGCTTAGCTGGGTTTAATCTAATTTTTACAGGCTGGGCGGTATGGATTTGCCCTACTTCATTAGCATGTTGGGACCAGAGAAACGGAGGGACAGTCTTTATGATTTCTTCTTGTAACACAGAAAGATTGGGGGACTCAGGCTCAGGAGGTGAGCTAGCTAGGGTAGCAAGTACAGCCATTTCATTAACACAGGGAACTTCTAAATAAACGCCATTAGGAGAACAATAAATAGTACAGCCAAGTTTACAAAGCAAATCTCTGCCTAACAAATTAACAGGAGAACAAGGACTAAGGAGAAAGACATGTTGATCAGAAACAGGGCCAAGAGAAACATGTAAGGATTGGGAAACAGGATGAGGAACTATCTGATTTGAAATTCCTACAGTGTTTACAACAGCAGAGGAGAGGAGAGTTGTAGAAAATTCTTCAGCTCGGAGAGTACAGCAACTTGTGCCAGTATCTACTAAACATTTTGTAGGAGTGCCACTTATTAAACAGGAAATGAAGGGACCCTCTTGATTAAGTGAGAGAAGCGGGCTGTGATGATGTTATCATTCCTCAGGCTGTCCTAACAGGACGCTTCTTGATTCGGGACGGAAAACTGAGTGAGAGGAGGTGGTGGCTGATTAAACGTCATCCCCGGCTGGCCAGGCCGTTGAGGACATTGAGCCTTCCAATGTCCTGGTTGGCCATAATAATAACAACTGTCATTATTTTGGGACTGAAATTCTCCTCGTCCCATCCCACGACCACGTCCCTTGCCTCTGAATTGTCCTCAATAGAAACCTCGGCTTCTACCTCTGCCTAAAGTTTGTATTTGTAAAGACATTAGCTTAGTTTCCGTGGATTCCTTTTTCTTTTCTTGGCAAGCTGTACAGTGATTAGCAATGGTGACTAATTCTGTAAGTGTCTTAGTTTGCCAACCTACAGCAATTGTACACAGCTGTTCCTGGACTTTAGAAAGAAGTCCTTGGACAAAAGCGGCAGCAACTGCTTCTGGGGCAGTTTCAGCTGCATCTTCAATGCCAGAATGTCTTTCAAATACGAGTTTCAAGCGATCCATGTAGTCTGCTGGGGATTCTCCTTTGCTTTGCTTACAGTTATTTATTTTGGCCCAGTCAGTTTTCCTGGGGTAGATTTTAAGCACGGCCTCAAGAAGGCGTTCTCGGGCACCTACCAAGTGACCTCCCATTCCGGGGTCTTGAGGAGGCCAATTAGCCTGTGTGATGAGGCGGTTATGGACTTTGGAGGGCAGAATACTTCTCATTAATTTGGTTAAATCTG